CTGCAATGAATTTCGAGTCAAATTAGAATTTATAAAGTCAATGCAAATGCTTTTCTTGAAAGCATCGAACTACGTTTAACAAAAATCTTACAAAAATTCCACCGCAAATAACAAATCTTTTGTAGTTGCTTAATTGTGCCAAATTTGCTCATTGCAAATTCAATGAAAATCTAAAATTCAGATCTTATGCATCATTTCTCTTCTCTGAAGCCAGCTCTTCCCCTCTCCCCTCACCGTCTAAAGTCCTCTCATCTGTTCTTCCCCTCTTTGCCTAATCTCACGCTTATCTCCCCCTGTTGGTTGCCTTTTTTTGGAAAGGTACATTTTTTAATTTAATATTTATATATATATATATATATAGCTTTGAAAGATAATAGTTTATTTTTTTTTGAAAATACGAGACCAAACCGATCTCATATAAACAATAGTTTAAATAAACGAGCATAACACTACAACTGATGCATCAATCTCGAGGAGTAGACACATTACCTACTAATGAGATTCGATTAAATAAATTAAAGAATTTATGACGTCTGTTTTAGTCTGTGAAACATTTATGTTGACCAACAAATTTTTCCTATATAATATAAAAGATTAGACAGGATTTACAATAAGCTTGGTTCTAAAGTTTCCTATAAGCGCAAACCCCTACAGTTAGTTACATCTTAAATGACCGAGGTCACCTAAGAAAACTCTTAATTTAGATCAGATAATATTGTCTTCAATAATTTTAAAGTTTAGGACTTTTAAGGTCGGACAAATGAGTGTCAAATGAAAAAAGATCAAATGAGAAAAGTCATTATGAAATCCAAAGGAAGAAAACTAGAGGTTGTCACAGTTCCTGAGAAGAACCTCAATGACTTCCTAAGCTATCCTATGGTTTAGCTTCAATTTCTGGGCAATATTATATGTTTCATCCTGTCAATTATTATTATTTAGGGCTTACACTTTCATGACACAATCATACAAATAGCCTGGAAGATAGGATAGTTTATGTCATAACGAATTAAGACCTTGGAGCCTAAAATGAGTTAAGGCTTAAATTGCACAGCATAGCGGTGCAAAGACCTAAAGATAAAGTGAAGATTTATGTCGTACTAGACGGACTACATTGAAGTCCTATGACTTGTTATTTAATTCTAAGGAAGATTTGTTATTGTAGATCTATTTGTTCTCTCGAAGTTGCTCTTTTGTACATTCTTATCATACTGCCCACAGAGTCTGCTCCAAGCTCCTCGTCGAAGTGACATCTCCAGGTTTAAGATTTAAAAGGTTTTATCATGTATGTTTAAGTGTTTTGGTTTTGTTCTTGTTCAAATGTCTTATTTGGGAAAGTTAAAGTTGATTAGAGTGACACCGATTAGGATCTCAATTTTCTTTCATTCTAGTACCACTATTTTCTTTTGAATTTACTTAGTCTAAACGAGCTGTTAAGCTCATTTAAACTAGGGAGATCTCGTTAACAACCATAGGTACCTCATTCGAGGGACTCCAGTAAATTCAAAAGGATGTATTTTGTTTTTTTTTTATTTGAAAAAGATGTTATTTTAAATTTGAAAATATGTATTCGTATTTTTAGTTTTGGTTTAGTTTTACAGGTAAAGTAAATAAATACATGTAAGAAAATGTTGTAAAGTAAATAAATAAAATTATATTGCATAAAATATAAATGTGTACCTGAGCCTCTACTACCGCTGCATGATTAACATCATAAAACACGATATATTTGCAGAAAATTTAAATAAATTATAGAAAGATAAACGGAAGTATTCGGTACTGAAAAATTCAAAAAAATGACTCGTAGCAAAACACGTGCAAGTAAAAGAACACCCGTAGTCATATGAGCTAGACTGTGTACTTTCCAACCTTGAGTAAGAGCTACCAACCCGATCATCTACGGAGGGCAATCCTAATCATGATCCAAGTGATTAACTGTGGTCCTTTATAAGTTTTCATTTTAAATTTAATTTTTATGCATTTTAAATTTACTTTATCAGGCAAAAGATATTTCATTTATAATATTTTACACAGTGGTGTAGTCCACAGGTTGATTATTTTGATCAAGCTAGGACTACAGGAAACCTATGAGTGTTGGGGGCAATCATCTTCTCAAGAGTCGTCGAATAGTATCATCAATCTTTATACTCTCTCCTTATTGTAGTTCCACGAGGTATTCGATACTATTCTAAAATCCCAGGTCTTATCCCTCGTTTTAACATACATTAACATTATCGTCATCGCCCTAGCCACCTAGACCTCAAACTTACATAAGTATGATGATCCATATATGGCAAAAAAAAATCCTTAGTTGCTCAAAAGGATTTAAATACCTTAGAGAAAACTCAAATCCTTGAGCATTGGGTAGATTAATATAAGATAAGTGGTGTAGGGCATTTCTATTGATTGGGCATTTCTATTGATTTTGAATTATCGGGTCCCGAGGCATAACTTGGTGGGCCCCTAAAAGTTTTAATGGATGATTTTCTTGAACAAAGAATAACAAGTTCAATTGTTTTTCAAAATATCCAAAAGATTATAAAAGTGTCATGGGTATAACCCCAAACAACTTTTAAAACCCCTTGAACTGTTTCGAGTTCATTTAAACTCATTATGCTATTCATTGATCATCCGAAGTTAAATTTAGTTTTAGTGAATTAATTTATCCTGTGCTTGATGAACCTTGATGTTTTAATTATCCCAACAACGAAGTACTCAGACATTCATTTGATGTTTTATTCAAGATTTATGTAAGTTTAACGTTACATGGTTTAGCTGCAAAGTTAGGATAACTGCGATCACAATGTTTACATGCTTCACCAGCTGAAGGACGAGTCATAGTATTAGAACCAATAGATTATGTATTATCCCATGTCAAGTGAGAAGTTATGTGTATAGAAGCGAACAGCACCAAAGTCGTGGAATGAGGGGAAAGTAAAAAGAGAAATACGTAAGCAATGCTTTTCTGATTTTTATTCTTTGTCCTCATTGGTTTGAATTTATCAGCACTGCAAAATATATATTTCATCTCCAGTGCATCTTCCGTATAATATAACATGCAGCTATTAACACAACAATCCATTTTTTAAGATAGTAATCCTACTTCAAAATTAACTTTTTATTTATGTACAAATCTTCTAGAATTAAATTCTCTGCAGGGCTTGTCTCTTTTAATAATGTTGCTATTTGATTGAAGCATTCCCTAGGCATGTTGAAATCAGATTTGATACTCAGCATTCTCAGGGTGACCAATAACTCCATATGCAAACAACAACCTTCCTATAAATGTTGTTGTGCAAGATTTAATAATTCATAGAATGATTGTGCTTCACTGTTCAACTCTTGATCATCGTCAGATACACTCACAACAAAATGAGCTCTACTGGCATCAACAATCATTTCCTCGTACATGCGGCCAAAATCGTGAACTATTGGAAGGACATAACTTAATGAGTCTCCAACATGATCATCTGAATATCTGGTTCAAATTCACTATTTGAAGTTCAATGCTAATAATCATTTTTAAATTCCTTACGATATAGATCTAACTTCAATTCTTTTCAAATTAAATTCTTCAGGCGATAGCTACGCTTGATTCTTGTGTTTCACATAGGGGCATCAAAACTTGCCTTTTGAAAGGTAAATAGACAGTTATGATACCACTTGCACAAATTACTCAACATCATCCAAAAACGCGCCAGTAAGTATTTTTCTTCATGGATATAATCTGTTATACATATATGAACTCACGTTTAGAATATCCATTTATAACAAAAATATAATTTTACTACTCAGTATAATTAGATATTAGTTGTATAGACAATACAGATCTCATAAACTTCATGCATACAATTTTGGTGGGGTTGGCTACATGAATCTTTTTTCTTCATTGTGTCATATTGAGTGTCATATTATTCATTTAATTCTAATAGATTGAGATCGTTTTTTATACAATATGCCTTGGTCTTTTTAGGTCTGCCTTTAACTTTCTTGAGAAGTCATATCTATATCATCTACTATCCTAATTGTGTTATTTGATGACCGAAGTTTAAGATGACAAAACAACAAAGTTTTTTTCCCTCTCAGGAAGGCCAACTACATGAATGTTCCTTCTCCATTGTGTCCTATTGAGTGACATATTTTCATTTAATTAATAGATTAAGATCAGTTTTTTTACAACATGCCTAAAGTCGGTGCAACACCAACTCTTTTTAATCTTTCCCAACGATATCTAAGCCGACTCTCTCAGATCCTTTCAACCACCAGCACAACACCAACTCTTTCATGAATTAAATTTTTTTCACCTTTTGACTTTAAGCCTAAAGCCATTCATTGCCCTAAGCACTTTTATCTGCAGATTCTAACATTCACACTATACAATTAATATGCATCATATATCTAACACCTAAACTTTAAATTTCAAATATTCACAAGAAAATGACATTTCACATAATAAAAAGCTCGAATGGGAGTTTACTTTGCCCCAAACATGATTTGGCCGGTGGAAATGTTGTCGAAGTCGCCCGAAGTCCTTGAAGTCGCCGTGTTTCGCCGTATTCACTTGGGAGTTGCCCTTTTCACCGTCCCTCATGAGACCAAAATGGAGTTAGGGAGAAAATGAGGCTCGGTCACGTGGGGAAGACATATTAGGGAGTTTGCGTCTGATTTTTATATCAGTCATGACCGTCGACGCTATTAAGTTACTAAATGGCCGGCGCAAAATCGGATGTTAAATCCGAAATATTTCCTTCCATCCAATTTTTAAAAATTTGGTAGTGCTAAACGATAAATCGATGAAATTCGATGCAAAGTTTGGGTTGAAAGAAAATCCAACCTAAATTCTGTTGCTAATTTATAAGTTTCCTGTAATGTTTGATTCATTTTTCACAATTTAGATTTTCATACATAATACAATGATAGCTTATCTCTCAATCTGAATACAGGAATAACAAAGCATAAACTCCTTCACTTAAAAACACTAAGAAAATACATTTCCTCACTAATGTACATAAAATCACATGTATCATGATTTTACTGTCTTCATCCCCACATCATGCCTCTGCCCCTCACTCTGCAAAAGGAATATCAGCAAGATCCTCTCTATAAGGCACAGTTCCTCCTTCTTTGTTGCGACTGAAGTGAGGCGACCCCTTCTCCATTTCCATTTCAATGGAGTCTGAGTTATCCTCAAAAGTGGTAACTTTATCTTTTCTGAAAACCAAATAAATAACTGATACAATGTAGGCAGCCATTAGAGGGAACACAAGAATTCCAATAAATACAGTAGCAGCCTTCGGTAAACTGCTATGGATAATCCAATCAACGAAGCCAGTGCTTAGATAATATATGTTTATCCCGATGATGCCCGAACCGAGGATCCATGATACAATAATGATCTGCAAAGATTAAAGCTTTTTTCATATAAATCTCATTTTTTTCTTATATATATTTAACTTTAGATCAGGACTCGGAACGTAGAGCTACTCCGAACGTTCGAATTGCGATAGTCAAGAATATCCCGCTATGTTACAGGTATATTCTATCTGCGTTATGTGTAAAAAATGATGTGTTATTCGAGTATTATATGGTGTTATTCGATTATTTTGCGGTGTTATTGAAATATTCCCCTGCGTTATTTGATTTGGGGAAGTGTTATTTGACATAATCCCCGCCTTATTTCAATTTTCACTATGTTATTGGAATAACACCGCCTCAAATCAAGTAACGCGGTGGAATATTCTAATAACACTTCAGCCACAAATCAAGTAACGCGGGAGAATATTCTAATAACATCCTAAAATAATCGAATAACACCATATAATACTCGAAAACATTTCATTTTTTTACAAATAACAAAAATTCAATATTCCTATAACACAGCAGGATATTCCTAACTATTGCAATCAGAACGTACAGAGTCCTGATGTAATATTTTTTGTGAGAAATATAATCACAACATGGAATAGAAACACTCACGTAGATGGAGTTCTTGTGGGGACCCATCTTGGTTCGGCTGCTGCTAAATTTGAGAAGAGGTATGAGAGCAAACGGCAACTCAAACGACAGTATCATCTGCAGGACTTAAATTTAATTAATGGCTGTTTTCTGATGACTATTGACAAAAAAAAAACTAAGTTAAATTCTTAATATGGCTGAATGCTTGGATTATTATATCACTACCAAAACAAAGAGCACATCAAAATATTAGAAACCTCAGATCAAATAAATGATTGTAAACTAGGAATTAAAAGATTCAAGTTTTGATTTTAGATAATTGGGTAAGTAAGAAAGGTACTTACGGATGCAATAATAATTAGCTTTCCTGCACCGGAGGATCCACCGATGATGGAGACGATGAGGCTGGGAATGATGGCGATTGATCGAGTCATCAGATTTCTTACCCACCTTCTCATTTTCAAGTCCAAAAATCCCTGCATTTTAAACATTTTTTAATTTCATAATTACTATATACAGAAAATAATCTATTTGTTAAAGTTTTTTAAATAATTACCTGCATGATGTACTGTCCTGCGTAAGTTCCAGTGATTGCAGAGCTTTGACCAGAGGCTAGTAAGGCGATTGCGTAGACAATGGAGCTTGATTTGCCCAAGACGTTCTGTCCATGCAATAAAATTGAGAGGAAGTTGCACTTATTTTGAATTTTAAATAAAAGGAAAATACATTATATTAAATGAAATTATATATAAAAAAAGAATTTATTCAATTTAATTTAATTAGAAATTAAGTTGATTAGTGTTATTCCTATTGACGAAAAAAAAAGAGGGCATTTACACCCATTTTAGTGGAGGGGCGTGCTATTTGTTTGCACCCCTTAGTTTGTAAGGGCTTTAACGCAGGCTTTGAAGGGGATCAAATGGCTGTTCACGTGACTTTATCTTTGGAAGTTCAAGCAGAAGCTTGTTTACTTATGTTTTCTCATATGAATCTCTTGGCTCCAGCTATTGGGGATCACGTTTCCGTACCAACTCAAAATATGCTTATAGTACTCTGCGTATTCACGATCGGGGAATCCCCGATGTATCCGTGCAAAATCAATACAACATTATTTTTTCATATTTGCATATGTAACAACACCTAAACATTCATAGAACTCAATTCCATTACATGAAATTAAAAATATTACCATTATTTTCTTTTTAAAAACAAAATAATTATCAAAATCTGATTAGAGAGAGAGAGAGAGAGATAGAGAGAGAGAGAGAGAGAGAGAGAGAGAGAGAGAGAGAGAGAGAGAGAGAGAGAGAGAGAGAGAGAGAGAGAGAGAGAGAGAGAGAGAGAGAGAGAGAGAGAGCAGTTTGAACCTTGAGTAAGAAGGAAGCCGAGTCCAGGGTTAGATTGCCACATTGATCAACTTCTTCTGGAGAGAGATTGTTTGCATAGCATACAGTTCCAGAAACAGAAACAACAGCAATGTTGATAAGTAGCGCAATAAACAATGCTAAGCCGCTCTCCATCAAGAAATACCTGCAGGCACTCTGACAGATGCATATGAAAAGAGAAATTAGTAGCTTTCACAATCATTATAATCACACTTACTTTTGTTAGGAAATTTGACAAAAGTAAATTTGTAACACTGTTTGATTTCATTCAGTTATCACCTATATGTTTTTTACATGCTCGATTAATAATCAAAATGAGATTTTGTGCACATTATTGTTTGATGGTAAGCCACAATGAATGTTGAGATTTAATTTCTAAGATCATATATAATTGGTGAAGAAAATATTATAAAAGGATAATTTTGCCTTGAATTTATCACTTAGGGGCACAATGACAATGGCTAAGTCTAACTCTCAACCTCATGAGAAAATATTCCGTCCTGACACCGCACGTAGAACGACCAACCACTGCGGGCACGTCGTCATTCACGTCATCGGAGGGAGACGTGGCCTCTGGTGGTTGGCTGTCCGGACGTACGAACGTCCATACGGAATATTTTCTCCAACCTCAGAGCTAGCCATATCACATTGCACTTTTAAATTATTTTTTTAGACAAATTAAGAGTTTCTACCTCATCCTTCAAAATTTCTTACTCTATTTTCAATCAACGTGTTGCACATTATATCAAAAATATATGACATGAAAATTGATGCACATATAAGTGGTAGTCTGAAAAATTATTATTTTTAGTTATTTATTCATTTATTTTCTTGTTAGTGGGGTGCTTGTAGGAATCAAGCTATCATAAGTAGAATCTCCAACACCTACTTGTAAATCATTTTGTTTGACAACAAAGCAAAGCCTCCAAATTTTATTGGATCAGCTTATAATTTCCTTCATATTTCAAAAATCACAAAAAAATAAGAGTAATGCATGCTGACACTCACATTTATTCCCTTCACAGAGGTTGGAATCTTTCTAGAGAGCACCAACGCAGAATGAAGAAATAGATTATGCCTGTCATCGACAATTAGTTCATAAAACTTAGCAGTAAATCGGCAAAATAATGCTAGGATTTTCGATCTATCACTACATTTTTCGGGCATTTACATACATAGTACTTTTATTTTTTACATTTATACCACCCAAATCTTTCTTATCACACCAAAAATACCACTAGTTTAAATTTTAAACATTTTTAAAGTAAAGTAAAATATATGCAAAAAAATTAAACCTTAGGTGTTAGATGTGTAGATGCCAAGGAATTGAGCGGTATGTATGGAAATCTTCAATTTTTGCATTGTTTTCTACTTTAGGCCCAAATTTTTGGAAAAATATTACATCAGAACTCCGAACGTAGAGCTACGTTCGGATTGCAATAGTTAGGAATATCTCACTGTGTTACATGAGTGTTTCATTTGTGTCATTTGTAAAAAATGAAATGTTATTTGAGTATTATATGATGTTATTCGATTATTTGGCAGTGTTATTGGAATATTACCCAGCGTTACTTGATTTGGGGCTGTGTTATTCGACATATCCCCTGTGTTATTTCAATCTCCATTATGTTATTGGAATAACACAGCTCCAAATCAAGTAACGCGTGGGAATATTCAAATAACATTTCTGCCCCAAATCAAGTAACGCAGGAGAATATTCCAATAACTCCGCAAAATCATCCAATAACACTATATAATACTCGAATAACGCTTCATTTTTTACAAATAACGCAGATGAAATATTTTTGTAACACAACGTTGCAATCCTAACGTAGTTCTACGTTTGGAGTCCTGATGTAAAATTTTTCCCTAATTTTTATACAATTTAAGAGATTTCTTACGGCATAACAAGAGCTCCGAGGAGAGCAATAGCATCGGCGGTGGCACCGGCTCCCTTGAGCCTAGGCATGAAAAGCCCCTTGATAACCTCCGATGCAGGAGGCTTCACATAGCTCAATTCACCAAAATAGCAACCAGCCAAGATAAACACAAGCATAGATATCAGAAGCTCCAGCTTTCTCACCTGTCATTTTTACATTTACAAATTACAATCAATAAAAAAGTTATTTTTCTAAACTTACATGTTCTATGAATCATTAGTTTGATCAACCCCACCCCATATCTCTGCAAACCAATCAGCAGAAGTGTGCTGCATCCAGTAATGAGAACCCCTGTCCAGACCGGTATGCTGAACAATATATTAAGTGCGAACGCAGTGCCAATTACTGCACGTTTATATAAAAAATATACATCAATGTCTATACTTCATATATATATATATATATAAAGATATATAATAATAAGGGATTATATAACAGAGAAAGAGGATATGAATAGTTATAATCACCTTCGGGGATATCTGCAGCAATTACTGCAGCCTCTGCTAGTAGCCATAAGCTGTATTTGACAAATAAAGGATACTCAGCCTTGCACAATTCAGCCAGATGCTTTCCTGCATAATAAGAGAGATATAATTGGCATCTTACAAATGAAGGAAAATTAAGGATATGCTTAATTTAGTAAAATAATAGTAATATTAAGCAACTGTACTATGAGCTTCCAATTAAGTTGATTTTTCTTCAAATACATGCTTAATTATAAGGTAATAGAGACTGTATAAGAAATATATATTTTTTTTCTTACATATTTGTAAATTGCACTCTTATGATATTATCAAATATAGGATTAGACATCACTGTGTGGAACAGCTGCAATTTATTGAATAATCTGCTGATTAAAAATAATTTGCTGATAAGTAAGGTACGGTGACCATTACAAATTTTTATTTTTTTAAAAACTCGGACCGCTGCCAGAAAGCTGTCATCGTACCTAGATAGGTGCGGTGTGAAAATGCTACTTTCAGCATTTTCAAAAGGTATAAGCTGTCAAAACGCAGTTTTCCAAATAGGCTAAGTGCGTTTTCAAAATGCCACCGCACCAAATAAGCTGTCCCAAACGAACGCGAAAAAAAAAAAAAAATCAAAGATTTATCTTTTGCAGCGTAGATGGACCATATTGTCACCTGTAGACACTCCAAGATTTGCAGCGAGTGATTGAATTATAAGTGCGAAGATTAGCCCAATCAAAATAACCCACAATAGCTGCATGCATATAGCTCTCTGTGTTAGCTCCCTTTCTCTAATTAAAACTTTTTTTTCTTTAAGAAAATTAAAAAAAAGAACTTAATTAATTACTCTGTGATAGCTTACCTCATATCTATGATTAGCCCCTGCCTGCAAATCAGTTTCCACTGCAGCAATAATCTTAGTTAAAAAGAAGAATAGGATTATTATTAACACAGATTAAGATATAGAAAGGTTAATTACAGTTTCCGGGGTCTAAATAAGCCAATGAAACCAGAAACCCAGGTCCTAAATGCCTCAAAAACTGCTTCCATGCAGGTGCCTATAGATGGCAGAAAATTTCAGCTTTAGAAGAAAAAATTTAAGTGGAACAGAGTTCTTGCATATCTTTGCTAGTGTTTTTTCACCTTGTCTTCCTTGGTGGCTATAGGTAGTTCTAAATTCCTCTGTTCTTTATTCCCATTTTCTATTGAAGACACTCTGTTGCTTCCCTTACCAGGAGCAATCTCTCCTCTTATCTCTCTCCCATCTGCATTATTAGACTCCATAAATGCTCTCTCTCTTTGTTTCTTCCCCTCACTATCTAGTTGAGGAGATGCATTATTTCATCTCCTCTGCTTTCCTTTTATAAGCATACAGGCGCCTGTAACGTGAGTAAGTGCTCTTTCTCGGCTTCAGTACATATACGAGCTGACAGCATCCAGCATGATTTATACGTTACTCGCTTTAGTAAACTCGAGAAAACTAGTCCGTATGAGAACATCAGCGGTCTTTGGCTCATGACGTTCATGACTGAGATTATTAAAATTAAATCGTAGATATTATTTCGATGTTATTTCAGAGTTATTTCGAAGTTATCGAAGAGAAACTTATTTATTCAACTTCAATAACTCAAAATAACATCGTAGAGATTATTTTGGGGTTATTTTTGAGTTATTGAAGTGAAATATATGAATTTCTCTTAAATAATCCAGAAATAATCCCGAAATAAATCTCCGCGGCGTTATTTCGGGAGGATATGTCACAATTAATAAAGTGAAACTGCAGAGATTATTTCGGAGTTATTATAGAGTTGATAGTTCTACTTTAATATTTTTAGATGAGCTTGATATAACACATATAAAATTATATTACTGAGAGTCCGCATATAGAGTTCGTCACGGAAAATTTTTCGGTGTTGACCGTCGTTTCATTCAGGTCGCTGCAGCCCGTACTTTGATTTATTAACGTCGTACGTATCAGCGTAGTTTACGGGGCTTATTTGCCTTAAAAAAAACATTATTTAGAAGCCACCTGTAGTGTGATATAATTCGATATTGTTTAAAAGAAGAAAACGTTTGGGATAAAACTATTTATTTATTTATTATTTAAATTCTCTGGGAGGTTACGTTTGTCCACCAATTGTTACATGCACTTAATAAATAGGTCAATAGTTTGAATTAGTTTGTAGATGATGACTGTCAAAAATTTAATTGTTGCTAAAGGTAATATCTTCAATTTTTTTGGCTTAAGATTTATGTATGAAGGCGGAATCCTCGAGAAGATCCGAAGATAACTCCCTAGCTTGGTTCCAAGCAAGCTTACACCTGAAGATTAAGTCGAGCTTCTCTATGCTATTCAAGACAGACTTCGTTGCAGCTAGTTCGGCTTAACTTGCCAGGGTAGCCCAGGCCAGGGGCCACTCAATGACTTCTGCTAGAGGAATAACAAGCCGGTAGTACCCACCTGCATGACCGCATAGGAGCGCATATCAGGTATGCTAAACGTACTTACACTGAACTCCTAACACAATTTGGATTCTGAGTCTAATGGTGGGGTGTCAAATGTCAAGTGGGCCCCACCGCAATATACTGACATTGGCCAGTGTTAAAAATGGTGGCGCCCCACCATTGGACTCCGAATGTATTTGGAGTCTTGATGTAATATTTCATACGAGAAAATATTGCATTAGGACTCCAAATGCTCGCAGTTAATATTTCTCCCACCAAAAGCCTTGTGTTTTTCATATCGAGTAAATCATCACTACAAAAAACAAAGAATGAAACCCAATAACCCTAATTTCATTTCGCGCCAATCTCCTAGCCATTTTCCTCGTGAAACAAAGCCTATTTTCCGGAGTGCTCCCGTCAATCTCCTTAGCCATTCTCCCCGCAAAAATTGAGTCTGATTTCTAGAGAAGCCCTAATAGTTTTTGTGTCAAGCTCTTCTCCGCAAACAAGTGTCGTGTGCCATACCGAAGGCTCCTAGCCCGTCTGTGATATCCCCAGCCTTCTTGGTCGTAGATGTATAGATTCTTTATTTTTGTTGGATCTAGCATGCCTATCGAAATATATATCCACAATATATATATATATATATATATATATATTATATATATATTAAAAACTAGAAAAGCTCATTGTTTATTTTTATTTCCAATAACTTGAATAAAACCTGAAAGTTCTTTCTTAATACAGTCCTAAAACTACAAACTTCAGCAATCTAAAATGATATAATGTGTTGCTTTTGATTTTAGTTCCTATAAGTACATTTTTGTTTGCGCTTTGTTTAGTTTGTTGTTGTTCGCTCTTGATTCTTTTTCTAAGGTGGTTGTCTCTCTTTTATGTGTTTGTTTGTGCTAACTTAATAGGATGTTAATTAAGGAATGAAAAATGATTAATTGCTCTTGAAAAGGCTTCTCTACCAAAAACAAAAATCATACATTGATATCTATATATCAAAGTTGGATATCAAGAATTTTACTAAAGTTTTTTAAGGCATAATGAAGTGTGGATTGAAATTGAATATGATTGTTTCCTTTGAAAAGCAAAATTAAATAAAAATTAACTTTTTTTTTATGAATTTTCATATTCATAGCTAGCCAACTAATAAATGTATTAAACTTTATTCTACAATTAATATTTTATTTTTGTGGGTCATAACCATGATAATCATAGCTTCTTACAAGGTAGGACAACTCACATAGTAACAAAATGAAATGTAACTACACTTTCTTTAAAGTAAAATAATCATTTAGTTATGTATTTTCATTACTATTTACATGTTTTTCTCATAGCTAGTTGTATTAGGTTATTTAAAGTGGATGTGTTTACTAATGTGAGCTCAAAAAAGACATTTCCATAAAGAAAAGAAAAAAATAAGGGTAATATCACAAATAATGCAGGGGGATTTCCAAGCTTCTGAAAACCGGACCAGAAAATGAACATATAGTAGGAGAGATTCAAGGTTCAATAGTTGAACTGGGGTTCACCCAGATGATCTAATAAATCATAAATATATTGTAAAATGACAATAGATAAGATTTAATTAACCTTCAATTCCTATGCATTTAAATATCTAACACCTAAAATTCAATTTTAACATTTTATTTTATCTATGCATGAAAACTTGTATTTCACTTTTTAAAAATAATGATATTTTATATGATATGGATGATTTTGGAGGTATAAATGTAAAAAAAATAGAGTGTAGGTGCTTGATATGTGACATGCGTCAATTTCAAGAAAATTTTCCTGCTATTTTTAATGCATTTTACATGTTAATTTTTCTTATTTATCACAGATTTACGCTTGAGAAATGTATTTTGTTCAAGTTATGAGGACGCGAGAATTGAATACGTGCTAGTTAGAATGAGAAAAACCAACAAAAAAGTGCTCGAAGTGGCGTGATCACACCACTTATCAAACATGGCCTGAGTTACCATGCCAAAAATGTCATGACCACACCATATGACGCAGTAGGGCTGTGTGACTACTCCATAATCGAGCGTGATCATGTCGACCCAGACAATCTAGAGGCATGACCATGCAGGAAATTGGCATGACCATGCCAACAAGGGAGACACACTTTAGAAAGGAAATTTGATGGCCCAAACCATGATTCTTGATATAAAATCAAATCTTATGGCTTCTTGGAGGGCGTTTTGCATCAGAGAAGGCTTTGAGGCTAAAAGAAGAGAGTTTGAGAGAGACTTTGAGAAATCCCTTGAAGGTTGTCTTCCTCTTTGGGAGGGAACATTTATGGGAAAGTTTTTCCTTACATTGTCATTTGTGAGAGAGTTTGTATGAGATGGAAATGTGCTACTTTTGTAGAGGAAATAATTTCTAATAAGTTCTTCATATTTTTGTTGTTTGCAATAAATTTATATTTATATTTTCTCCTTAATAAGCGGCTAAGTTTTTCTTCGTATATCTGTGATGTAGGATGTAGTGAAATTATCGTGAATTTTCTTTAATATTTTTTTGTTAATTGTTTTCTTGTGCTTTCATGGACTATGTTATTGGTTAACCTCCTAATTTATTTTTTTCCTAGTCTAGCCAACTAGGAATTTAAAATGTTTTGTGAAACTACGATCTCTAACCGTTGCGTAGTGGGAATGACAAATTAACCATAAAACTCTGAGAGGATAGAAATATTCTAGTGGAATTTTGCAATCGTGTCAGGTGATCAAAAAAGTCATGTGGAATGTCATGAGGATTGAGAAAGCACCAACTTCATGGATTCAAGCTTTCTTTTAACCTAGACATAGACATATGGAGTACCATGTCCTTAATTAATAACAATCATATAGGGGAATATTTATGACAAATCATAATTGCCACGATCGCCGAATCACAAATGCATGTGTCATCTATTTTGAAGAAACTCATGAACTACCCTCCTACCTTCTGCTTTTCTTTCAATTACTAAGTACTCTGTTTTGCTAGGACTTTATGAATTAAAAACCTCATTTTGATAAGCTAAGTTAACTAAATCAGTAAACAAGAGATTTTTTTGCAGAAACAAATATTACATTTTCTCTATGAGATCGATATGCGGTATTCTTGAACTGCATTTACTACTTGACATGTGCACTTGCATTGTATAACTTACGTCCCAATAAGTTTTGAAGCTATTGTCGGGTAAAAGCTTTAATAGTTTTTTTTTCCTATTTGGAAAGCTTTAATTGAAAATTTTAGGATCTATGTTTGGCATTTTTATTTACTTGGTTTACTTTGTGTTTTATATTTTTCTGTAATGTTGTCGTATTACTTTGTAGGTACTGAAAAGTTAAAAAATTTAAAATAAAAAAAGGGCGAAAAACAAAAAATATTTTGGTGATAATTTATTTTCTATTTCTTTTAATTTCTTTAACATATTGTGTGTCGCACTTGCATGTTAGTGTGTTGACTGACTTGTTTGGCTAGAGATTTTGGTAGAATGAATTCCACTGGGGATACATATCAATATCTAAGTATGGTTGGAAAAAAAATAGTGTACCAACCCAAGAGTATTTAGCTCTTAGCCAACCCAGAAGCATCCCTCAAAGAGAAAATGCTACACTCATCTAATGTGAGTAGGAAACTCTAATCCGGGCATGGATGGGGAGCTTAACTAAATAGAAGAGTCGAGGAAAGAAGCATAGCTTTCCCACACAAAGAAGGTATCATTCAAACTTGACCTTGGTCAGTTGAGGCACCTGAGAAGGGTTGGGCAAAATAGAGTGCACCAAACAAATGATGTTTAGCCTTAAGGCCAAATCTAAACATATCACATAGGAAAGAAAATA